TCCTCTCCTTACAGTGCTCTGGAGGTTTCAGCCATACAGACTGAGGGATGAAGAGAGCTCTCCTCCTGATCAGGGTCCCATCTCCTCAGGAGCAGATGTGTGGTGGCAGAGGAGGAGTGAGGCTTGTGGGACTGAGTCTTTGACTCCCACTCACATCACACTTGTAGAAAACTTTGCTAAGAGTTTGCACAGCAAAACAAAACTCTCACGCATAGGTGCTTCCTCTCTTCTCAGAGTGTTTCTCTGAATGACTCCACAGCTTTGTCCAGGTATTTGTTTTCACTCATACTTTTCCTTGTTTTGTTTTTTCTTCTTTTTTTCCTTGACGTCTTTTGGTAGTTCACTTGAATCTACAACTTACCCATCAGTGCCACTCAGTGGTAAACATATGCACTGTGCAAAGCTGTTACTGCAAATAAACATTAAACACTTTTTTTCCACACTGCTTTTAATATTTTAGTGGAACTGAATGCCAGATGATTCACAAGATAAATACTATACAGGGTTAATATAAAGTGTCCACATGAAGGATTTTCTCTTTGAGGCTGAACCATTTCTTGGTTATGCTGCTATAGGCTGAGACTGCTGCAGGGAACCCTGCAATACACTGTGATGCACTGAGCACTCCTCCACTCACCTCTTTTCATTACTCATTTCCTTGCTCGAGGCTTCTTCCTGGTAAAAGGGAGTTTTTCCTTCCCACTGTCACAAACTGCTTGCTCACTAAGTGCCGCTTGTATAGTGTTGCTTTGATTTGGTCTATATAAATAAACCTCAGTGGAACTGAACTGAAATGAACTCTTTTAGCTGATTAACAATCAGTAAACCAAATGGTTAAAGAATAACACAGGATGAGTCACATGCTGTCTGATACTGTATGTTCCACTTCAGAAGCCAAATCAATTTAATGCTCCACACTCAACAATTAGCAGTCATTAACAATAAAAAACGAATTTTATATTTCTGTTATGTAGGAATTTCAAAAACATGATTGCTGGATTTTATTATATTTAGTAAGCTCTGGTTTATATCATTTCACATGCTTTCTTGAGTGTATTTCATCTCCCACCTTTCCACCAGGTGCCCTTGGTCTGATTTCCAGTCTCATCCCTCAGTCTTCTGGAGCAG